TTTTTTTTTTTTCTTTTTTTTTTTTTTTTTTTTTTTTTTTGCCACATCCGAATTCGAAACGTCCGTGCAAACGAGAAAATATATACGATATGTAGATCGAGCAGCGTCGCTCGTAATTGCGAAAAAATAGACATTCAATTTATAGTGTGCCGCTGCTTTGTAAAAATATTACGAATATCGAATATTTTGATGGAAACAAAGAGGGCAGAAATATCAACGACCACTGAATACAGTTGTATAAAAATTGGAACAACCATTGAAAAGAGTACCTCCGTTTTGTTACCAATAATGAACAGTAAATTAATGAAACTGTTCTATTTTTAATTTATCGTAGTTTTTCGAGTATCTCGAGAGCGTCCGAAAGTCTAATTTTGTACGGTGATATAGGAGCATCGGCAAACAACGTCCCCTGTCAAGGGAACGTATTAGGCAACCCGATGTAAAATTCAGAAGCCATCGTGCAGTATGACGTCGATAAACTACAGCGTAAGTCTCCGGTGATTTATTCTCTGTAGACGCCAGCGACGATATATCCAACGTGTTTAACGAATTACGATTGGCCATTGGATATTACGATTCTTATTCTCCAGATCAGACAGAATTCCATTTCCGGTTAAACAGTTATTATATCGTATCTATTTCGTTAACGAAAACAATTATTCGAAACTGCTCTAAACATAAATCGAACTTTCGGAAGTAAATGAGAGGCAATCATCGAAATTTTGTCGGATTTTCTACCGCCGAAAAACAGAGATGCTCGATGGAAAAATACGAGCCGAGGTCGAGTCTGAATTTACATCAAATCGAAATTCAAATTCCAATTGAATTATACACAAGTCAAATTAAATTCAAAGTTCTCCGAAATTACAATTAACACGCAAATTGTTGAGGAATTACCAACTAAAGAGCGACCGGACAGGTCCAACCGGTCGGACGATATCGCGAACCTTGAATGAATTAACGCTCAAGGTTAAGGAGATTTAATAGATAGAGTGTTAATGTAATTTGGCACTTTATTTGCGCTTGTTGAGACTGAAGTATTTCAACCGCACGATACGACGCTCTGTCGATGACTGTCCTAGTATCTTGTTCATGCTCCCCATCAGCCACTATATTTTTCCATGGCTAAAGTATCGATGACTATAACGAGAAAAAAATGTCTTTTGGTCACACGAGCGACGCAATAATATTTCAAAGCAAATTCTTCGAACTCCTTGTTTTTGTCTTAATTATGAAAACACGTGGTTTTCCGCTTCGGAATTACCAAAAAATTCAAAGTTACCTGCTCTCACCGAGTACGTTGAGCGATGCGTTAAAGATCCTATTATCTCGGCTCCCGTGTAACGAATTTATCGAATTTGCGAGATCAGACGTTGGACAGATATCCAAAAACACGATCAGATCGAGTCGCTGGCTACGACGAACGAGAACGAGTCTCTTCTGTATGCTGAACGACTAACAAGTAGAAACGTAAGTAAGACTCTGGTCTCGCGGCGTCTAGAGCTCGGTTGTCATTCTGTTTACGGACTCTACGCACTAACTAGAGCGGAAACCGGGTGGCCAGCATTGTGTATCCGGGACTGGCTTAACCCGCGGGCCTCCGGATTAAGTCAGCGTCGCTGCATACACTCTGTGCGTCCAACATTTTCCTCTCTACCCGTCTCCCGTTCGCTTCTTTGTTGCTCTTCCGGCGGCGTGGTTCCCTCGCGAGTTAAGAAACTTTCCCTCTCCGTCCTCCATCTCCGCGTTTCCCTGCGCGCGTGTCTCTAAAAAAGGTAACAGGTGCGGAACGCACGGCCTGTACCATCGAGGATTGTCCTCTCCTCTTTTTCTCTTTCTCTCGTTTCTCTCGTTCGTTCGCCGGGCCGAACAATGCTAATTTATTGCACGGCCGCGAAGCGCGCTCTTTAAAAGACGCCGCGAACGATCCTAGACGAACGCGCACAATGAGCCAGCGCCGACTTTGATAATGTCTGGCAAGTGGCTTCATCGCTGGACTTGCAAGCGTGTTTCCTTTCCGCTCGTGCTTTGACTACGCTCCGTAGAACCATCGCGTTGCTTCCGAGTTCAAGCAATCGTCTTGCGATTCCCTTCGCTACGCGCAATATGAATATTTCTGTCGCTTGAAACGATGAGAGAAAAAAATGGCAAATAACGTGGCATATTATACGATGGTGAACATGTACACCAGTCGAATATTCGAAGAAGTAGAAAACGAAAGTGAAAAGAGATGCAGATAACACAGGCTGACAATTGCATGCGGCGGAAAATTGAAAATTACTCGTCGCTTGTGAAACGACTTTGGAGAAGAAGCTTCGCACGAGCGTGTAATTCGACGCTGCTCGCCATTAGCAAGGTATACTCGCGCGCAGAATCCAAGAAACCGCGTGTCAGGACCGAACTCTAATCCGCTTCTGGTCGGGATTCTCCTCGGCGCAGAAAGCTTCGCTTTCATACCGGTCCACGGTTTTTTACCTGACCACAATGAGATGGTGCGTGCAAAACGCGCGCTGCTACGCCCTCGCGTATTCACGATACGACCCATCTGGCTCGGTTCTTGTCGGCAGATGCGTGAAGCTTGCCCGGAATGCGTGCCACCGCTGTTCAAGAGACAGAGACAGAGGAAGAGGTAAAGAAAAAGAGAAAGAGAGAGAGAGAGATAGGAGATGCCCGAAGAAATCGAAATAAAAAAAAGGGGAAAAACAAAAGAACGAAGAAAAGGAAGAATATTTGATTGATGAAGTGCGCCTCACGCGGAAGAAAAAAGAAGGAAAGCCGCCGTCCGGCGCAATTACGCATTCGAACTTGCCATCAATCTTAATTACCAGCCACGAACGAAAAGAGTTCGTTAAAGTATTAAAAGTGTGCGCTTTCTTTCGCGCGGATAATTAAAAACCGAAAGAGAATAATGATCGAACGGGCAGCGGCAAGTTTTCTTCGTGACTACTAGTCTCTCGGTACGAGACACGATCCGATCGATGGCTATTAACGTTACACCTTGTACAGCCTACGGCAATCTCGTGTACGTCGATCCATTCTTCAGATTTCCTATTTCGCGGAGGAACTTTACTCTCTGATCTAATGGCATCGGTATTGTTCCGTACGTAAACCCGTTTACGTACGGGACACGTGTTACCAACTTTATGCATGGGATTGTCATTGGGAAGAATTTAGAAAGTAAATAACGAACACGGTACTTTGGAAAAGTTCTCGTTGCGACGTCTAAAGAGCACAACTGCAAAACGGCCGAATGTCGGCACTTCAAACGGCACGGAACGCCGCTAGTAATAAATAAATTCCGCGCGGAATAAGCTCGGAACGCTATTACGGCCTCTTTGTACGCGCGTTCCTCGTGATTGGTATAAATTAACGAAGCCGGATTGCTTTCAGCCCGCGAAACACCGTGTCAACGTAAGATTTATCGGTTACCGTTGAAGAGTTGCATGCCAGCCGGAACGGCCTACCGAATTAATTGCCGGTTATCTTTCGCGTAAACGTTCGATCGGTCTTCATTCGATGCTACATCCCTATGATACGATTTTTGATTCGAGGAATCTTCAGAACGAGTGAATTTGCTTAATTCCAGGAAGCGTCAGATCTTCGCCTGTATTTTTCGTACTCACGTGCGTCCCGAAACTTATGGACAAAAGCGTATACCGTTAAGCATCTCGCAAGATTCACGAAGAACTTCGAATTTCGCCATTTTTAGATCTCTACTTGAAAAATAAATTTATTGGTCCAAGAAGAAAGGAGGAGTTTGACGTTGAAGAATTAGGATATTTTCATAATAAATGAATGTCTATCCGGATGCGTTGTGCCCACATAACGGAGATTTGGTCGACTCGACGTAAGAAACGTTGTGAAACACTGAGAAACGAACATAGAGCGAGGAAAAACAGCTGGAGGAATTACTTTGGCGGACTGTACATGGTCAAAAACCTGCGGTCGACATCTATATTTATAAGGCATCGCCGAACGGAGCGCCCCTCCGATCCTTTGTAATTAAAATAATAAGATTAATGTTTCGCGCGCTGGCGCGCAAATTGAGCATTTATACATATGTAACTGTCAGCCGACGAGACATAATTACTTTGGCTGCAGCTCGTACACCTAAAATACAATCCTCCTTTACAATTGCTTTTAATTGTACTCGTTACGCAAACGCGGCAAGCCTGCACGATCATATCAATTCGTCCAAGTTATTTAAACCGATCGATTTCAAACAGCGAACCAGTTAGACCTGGTAAATCTTGAAAAGGAGACAAAAAAAAACGAAACTTCAGGCGCGAAACGAAGATACAGAACCTATCTCAGATACAGCCAGCGACATCGCGATTAACAACGAAAAAATATTGTCTACGACCGAACAATTACTCACAACGTTCTAAGACGTTCGATTTTCCTAACAACGCCTGTTCAAATTCGATCCGTATGCGACAGAATAATGAAAAAGGATTTTCTAATTCCTCGACGAATCAAAGGACACGACGCAATAGGATCGTACGACGGTAAGGGCTCGTCAATAAAACGAAACGAGCAGTGACGATAAAACGGGAATAAAAGGGGTTGCACGAACGCCGACAAATTCGTTCGCTTTTATTTCACCGGTTGTACGAGCGTGTCGGATTTATACGACGATGGACCAGAAACTTTTACCGTGGACTGTGCCCGGCCGACGGCCACAATGCATGCATAAAACCTCTCGCGAAGCACCTAATCGAAATGCGGGGTTCATTTGACCGCGGGGCCGCGATCGCACGAATCCAATCGGTAATCGAAAAAACTCGGGTCAGGCCGTTTTTATTTTCGTTTCGCCTCGTCCCGGACGGCCGAGAAGTCGTTCGTTAGCTATCATTTGCATTCGCTCGTTCGTATTAGTTACATTCGACCGGCTGATCTAATTAGTCGTCGAACTTAGCGGATCGTTAGCACATTCGCTATCGTGTGCATTATGCAGAGTCCAGCCGACAACCGGCCTACGAGCAACGCAACGATGGTAGGGACGCGATGGAGACCGGACGGGCGCGACGAAAGAATTATCGAAATTATCGGAATCGAGGAACGGCAACAAGAACGAGCGACATGTCGTACAAAGTGTTTCATTCGGCCGCGTACAACTTAACTGGCGATCCTGACCCGGTGAAAACCTGTTCTCGACTCTTGCCTCGGTCGAGATCGTTACACAAGAGTTTCTATTTTAACGACAGTGTCGCGATATCCCGCGTTATCGTTCGATAATAGCGTAACAAACGACGCCTTGAAAACTAGTAAACGGTTTATATTACTGATTTAGATCAAACGGCCACTAAGGCGTTTTTCGAGCGTTTGGCTCGACGCTTTATCGCCAAGTTTGTCTTTAAAATTGGAAATTCCAATGAAGGTAGTTCCGGAATTGCGACATCGATTACGCGCATATAAAGATAAAGCGAAAGACTCTTATGTTACCGTGTAAGTGGATGCGATAATGAGAATAGAAAGAGTACGCTCCATAGAGCACCCTTCTGTCCTCTGTTCTTATCTAATTACGCATGCCGCTAGTTGATCGAGTTACACGTACGTAATTGCTATACAAGTGTGTATGCGTTATTAGACAAGGACACAAGCGATTTTTTCACAACGTTCTGTTTCTATTATGATATCGGGTTTCTTTATATCTGTAGGATTACGCGCGAACCGAAGAACGACTTTCGATTTTCAATTCGTCCTCTGGCCGTGAAATCAATGCGTCCACGAAAAATGTACCGCACGACGAGCAATAATCGCCGCAATTCCCTCGCCGGTACTTCGTAAAGCGTCAAAATCGGTCAACTTCGGCTGTATATCGAGCCGTGCGGTTCTCGAGACAATCTGCATCGCGGTTGCGGTTTCAACGTAGGCGGCCGAGATTCAGCAACGCATTACGGATTGTCCGATCCCGTGACCGCAACAAATATATGTATATGCACGCATTTTCTTCGGCTTCGTCCGCGCCACGTTTGCTTTCTCACGCCATGAGAATCACCGAGCTCCATTCGTGAATTAAACGCTATGCCATTCATTGGCAGCTACGAAACTTACGCGTTCGACGATAGAGTCATTTACAGGCTAACTGAATGAAACTCGGATTCACAGACGCGTACCTTCGTTTTAACAAAATCGAAGCTGTTCGAGAAACATTGTGGCAACGTTTCACCACCTAACTTTATTTTCGTTAAATCGCTACGAGATGCGCGTTTTTGATACGAACCTCGGCAATTTCGACGAAAAATTCCGATAGTTCGATAGCTGCAATAAACTACAACGAACAATATGCTTTTATTTATCGTTGTTAAGGGTGGTGGATAAAATAAACAAATAAAACGAACTGTATAACGTACTTTCTCCAATAAACACAAGGCTATTTTACATCTTTGTTTGAAATTAAAGAAATCTGTCAGAATCGCAAATCTCTATCGCTTCCTATCTAATGTAATCGAACGAACAGACAACAGACTACAATCCCATCATGTTTTTATTCGCAAGATACGCAAAATTTTTTCTACGCACAATGGCGAAGAACAGGCTCGTATACCTATACTTTTTCTCCGCTGTTCTATGGTATTCGCGGCAACAGGGTCTGTTCTCTCGACGTATAATATCCTGCTGGTCAGAAGAATAGGTAACGCACTCGAGGTCCGAAGTGCTATTGTTCTAAAAGCCTCTCTTGCTTGTCAAAGTGTGCCTGGCAATGCGGGCAAGTCCCTGGCCTCTCTGTAGCCCCGCGCACGTCTTTCACCCTTTCCCGTCTTATATCTCCGCGCACCCCACACTCGCTTCACCAAAGTATCGAAATCTTGAAAGGAGCAAATCAAAGGAGCAACCGTGAGAACAGCTTGCTCGTTGGCAGAATCTCTTTCTTCTTTCATTTGTCTCGGTTTGTTTTGTGACGCTTTCGTACAATGTCAGATTATTTTATTATCCCTAATGTCTATGCACTTATGGAGAATTGAACTTATGCTCGTTATAATACTTGACGAAGGAAACAAATTTCTCTCTAGTTATGTTCACAAAGATATCAATTCGCATAGACAGCCGCGATATAGTAAGAAGAAAGGAGGAGGATGACAGAAAGATTCTAATCGGCGAAATTAAAGAGTATCCATCGGTAACCTAAAGATTAAAAAACAGACGATCGTTAGTTCATTGAAAGGTTTGGTTGTGGCGACTTCGGCGTAAAAGGAAGAACTACGCAGTTCCGCGTTTTCATCTTCTCGAGCACTGTTGACGCATTCCGCCTCATTTCTGCGTACTATCAGTGCAGCGGTGTCGTAAAACTATCTCTAACGACCATATCTCACCGCAAATGCTTCTACAGTTGCTTTTCTCCTACGACATTACAACATTGGCGCCGTATAAGATTCAAGATTCGAGATTCGAGTTGGCAAGAACTGTAAGATCTAGTCAGCGTACCTTCTAGTTTAGTTTTATCGTTTTAGAAGAAATAGGAGGGAAAACAAAGACAAATCTTCGCTGAAATACGAATCGGGTTTCGTTAAACTTTTCCACCAAGAACAACTCTGACTCGTGAGGGAAGATCGTAATATCCGCGGAGGTAACAGGAGGTGAAGCCGAGGTCGAGCATCGTGGTTGTTGGAAGTTTGGAAAATAAAGGAAACGCTTCCGTCGTGCAATCACCGGAGCCTCAAGATGCGACAAGCAGGTAGACGCGACAGGAACAAAAACGAGGGGCAGACCATGTTCCACCGTATACATATCGCGAGGCAACTTTCCGTAGCGTTTCGAATAACAGCCAAGCAGATTGCTCGTGCATAATTAAGGAAGGAAGTTGATTCCGTCGGAATTCATGGGGAAAAAACGAGAGAGACAATCTCCTCGAGGAAGCGAGTTTGCTTAATTTCATTCAAAATAACGGAGAATTTTTCATCGTCAGCGAAGAAAGATACCCGACATGTTCAGGTCCTGCAGTGAAATTCTATAATTCTATAACGGCAAATAAAAAATTTCGAACACATTCGCGAAAACCATCAACGCGCGTAAATTCACGAGTGTCAGTTCACGATGGAAAAGATATTGCGCTCCTCGGACGCTTAAAGGCCAAACACATCGAAAGAATTTGCCATTAAACGAAGAAGAAGATGTATAAGAGAGAGAGAGAACGAGGCGAACAAGTCAATTACAGTCCAAATGAAGATTTCAAGAAATGAATACAAATACGAAGGATTAAAGGATCTAGAAGTAGGTGGCTGGATAGGTATAGCGCGCCGCGTGTTCAAGCACCGCCTTCGGACAGCGCACAGAGAGATTAAACCAGTAAAATGCAAGTGCCCATAAAACCGGTAAACGCTGCGCCCTCATCTCCAGGGCGCCGGGACGTCAGTTTAATGACGGGAATAATTTTACTTGTGACCCGACCAACCGACGAGCCGCGACCAGGAAAACCGGTTTTGCTACCGCAATACGTCAATAACACGGCTATGCTTTGCCAAGGCGAGATACGAGACAATGCCAGATATGCATGACGATTCTCCGGAATGAATGAATTTTTCCTCCGTAATTGAGCTTTTTTCTACGCGTCAAGGTATAACGACGCGCTGGTAAATTTAAGACGATCTGCACGTCGGCGAGATACGGCTTCATCGCATCGCAACAATTGCGTATTAGTGGTAATCGTTGAAATTTTACGTATCTTCGATATATCAAGACCGCTATAAATCAGAGTTATCGACGTTCCGTTGGCATATTTCGTCCAATCGAACGGAATTGATCGATTTTCAACAGAGTTGCCTCTCTAAAAACAGCGCTGTAACCGTGCTTTAATAGCTGACTTGCCACGTTATACATAGAACGCTGGCAAAGCCGAACACGCGCAATCACACGAGAGAAACTCGGTGGATGTGGTTGCATCTTGAATTAACCGACACATCCTGTGCATGTGATTCTGCTTCGGTCCGAATCAGCCGGCTTTGCGTTAAATTTTCACGGAAATCCAAAGACTGGAAACCTATAAATGAAGGAACATGTTCCGTTTAACCTGCAAGTCGCTCTGTAGCCTATCAAATTCTATCGTACTCTGACAAATATTCCGCTAATTGGAAGAAAAAACGAAAATCAGAAAGACGAACGGAAATCATGAAAATTTCAAATTTTGCTCGAGTTCGCGGTACAAACTTTCTACTTTGACGCGATTATCGAACGCGATCAGGCGAGGATAGAGCCGATAAATCAGAGACCGGTCGAGATTAGCAGACACTTCGTGTATGCGATTCAGCGACGGAAAATCGGCCAGAGGGCTAAGACTGCGTAAATATACATGACTCTCATAGTCATAGCAGCGAGTACGCGTACAAACATCGATTCCGTCGTTGCTTATGCCATCGGTGAGGGTTCCCTTCGCGTATCGGGCATCAATGCCGCGTGTAATACCAAGAGAAATACATTCGATGGTAATCGCGCAACTGAAACGTACGCCCGGCGTACATCCAACCGGCATTAACGTTCGAATCGATCATACAAGCTATCGGTATTACGGGGTAAATCATTTGCCTTCGCCTATGCTAGTGGCGATAGTGGTGGTGGTGACGGAGTTGGTGGTGGCTGGGTACGCTAGAAAGTTGTTGCCGGGTTGCTCGTGCACCGCCGCCGCCGCCGCTGTACCAAGTAGCAATTGCCGCTCATTTGTCAGCCGCGCCACTGAAATATCGCGGCTGAAATAGAGGCTACGCGGCAAACCAACCGCGTTTCCCGCTGCCTAGTATCGGTCACTTTACGCTTTGATCACTATCCTGCATCGTGCACGAATTTCCTTAATGGTAACGCCGTTTCACATGCTAGCGTGCATCTGCTATGAAGCAAATACGTAGAGTGGCGCACGATAGGGGTCGTTTAGAGCTTTCAAGGATTAGGTTCTATAGGAGGATTACGTTTCGTTGAAGAGTTCTCTCTCCGTGATTATCTGCTTTCTTTAGCCAAGTGCGTACGATATCGTTAGATACAGAGCGGTTTATTTGAAATTGAATAGCTTTCGATCACATCTTTCGAAATGGCACGGAGAAGAGGTTTTGGTAGTAAATTTATTGTATACGTTTCCTCTGTGTTATGCGAGAACTGGTGTTTTGTGAAGTTTCGTAGTTTCTCGCTTCGCCGAGTTCCCTACCAGAGCTCTCCCTTCTACCTTCTTATTTTTCTCGTTGCTCTTTAACATTGCGTGTATTCCTCGAGTGCCCTTTACTCTCAGCCCACTTTGACCAAGTCCTTATAGAACTCTAATCCGTAGACAACTCTCCATACCACTCAACCCTGAAGAGGTCGAAGGATTTACCGTCGAGGCACCGAGCGCTCTAAGCAAAACTGAGAAGGATAATGCAAAGAGAGAGCGAGCGAGCAAGAAACCCAAATGCCGAGTATTATCGTATCGACTAAAAGGTATTACAGTATCCTAAGAAGCATTTATTCAGCCACTCGTTTACTTTGGTAAGTTGCTTCATCTTCCTGTTGCAAAACCACCGTCTAACGATGCATCTCTATTTCCATTTGCGTCGTTCGAATTGTCAAATAAATTATCTTGTACATTTTCAAAGGCATTCTACGAATTCTCGTTCTCTGCATTCGAATATCAACGTAAAATACAAATTCGATTTCTCGAGAACTATTCAGCGAGGAAATTGAAAATTTCGGTCTAAGTTGTGACAAAGATCGACGGGCGTCACGAGCAAACGTGTGTCCTAGATTCGAAGGGCTGCGAGGGCCTGAAATCGGATCTCCGGTTCCATTCCTTCGCGTCCAGGTAAGAACACGGTGATGGCATTTCGTTCAATGGAATTCCACCGTCGGATTCTTGGACAGCAATTTGCCAGTTGCATTCGAATTTCGCGAATTCCTAGCCCGTGTATCAGGCTGAGAGGTAACCGCCATAGTCGATAGATATAAAAACGACTGCATAGACGCACGGACCACCCCACGTGATCGTCGTCTACGTTCATCAGTCTCCTCCCAATGTTCCGTCGTCGCCAGATAAACGTCGTCCCCGATCTAGTTGAACATTAACGTTACAAATATCCAGGACATATGGGGCCGTACGTGTACGTACGAATAACGTCATTGATTCATCGGATGGTCGAATCCGAATTCTACCACGTGTCCACGATGAACAGTGACGCGACACTGATCGCTGGCGCACTCGTAAAACACGCGAGAGACGATCGATCGTTTGTCTTGCTCGATCCAATTGCGAACGAGAGCCAAGGCTTCACCAACTATCGGACATTCCCATAAATACCGGGTCGCCCTTTGCACCTCGACGAGCCGCAAAAAGACGAAGAAGAGCGGCAAAAATAAAAGTGGCGCGCGTCAACAGGACGAAAGTTCAGGAGGCAAAATGGCGTCAGGATCGATTGTTTGTCCCGTTTGAACCAATTTCAATCAGGATTTCGTTCGCCAGCCACGATCGTTTATCTTGCAAAGTTCCACTTCAGTTAACCGATAACATGAATTTCACGACGCGACCCGTGTTCATATTTTACTATCTACGCGGTGCTTTTAATCAAGCCGCTGTTATCGCGGCGGTCGTTCTTGTCCAAGAACCGATAGCACAACTGCGTATAGATGCCGATACCTCGGACGAAGGAAAGCATAAATGAAAAGAACGAACAGTTTCCAGAGAACGGATACCAGCGTAGATAAATTGAGAGAAACGCCAACGGTAAGAAAGATCTGTCAAGACATTGCAAAGGCACTCGGGTAACAGCTTCGTAACGATACAGAAAAATTCCCACAAAGTTAACGCGATAGGTTGCTGGCCAGCGTATAACTTAATAACGTCTATCACAGTCGAAGCAAGCCTGAAAGTACAGCCCGGAGCTCGTAGCTTTCGGCTGAAATCCGCGAATGTGCTGGCTCGCTGCGGCACGTACAGATACGCGCGCACGCACGCACATGGGAGGCGAGGGAACTAAGTCGGAAGGGTTATGATACGCGTGTCAAATTTGGACGGGGCCCCGAGAGACCGCCCACGCGGTCGAATGGAGCAGAGTGAAAAGCAGCTCCGGCGCGATCGGGGCCCAAGCGGCTCCTCGGTTAATTATCGTACCTACGCCACATTCGTGCGCGTAAATCACTTGACGATGCCTTGAGACGTGAGATGTTTCCTCCCTCTCTCGTCTCGCCTCGTTTTTTCTTTCGCTTCTCCTCCGTCTTCTTCGTCTTCTTTAACTTTACGCTGATTCCGACCTCTCCCCTCTCTCGCGTTCCCTTACTTTCGTTTCTTCCCCACCTTGCCCCCTTTCTCCGCTTCGTTTTTCTTTTCCAATTGGTTTTATTTCTTCCATGTCTTAACCCCTTTTCGCCAACAGGCTATCCGTAGGATCCTCCGTCCCTCTCGTTCTCTCTCTCGTCCCTCTCTCCGACCAATAACCAACCGAAAATACCACCTCCTCGCGTCCTCCCCCGCGAAAGCATTTCTCTCGCGGTCCCTCGTCTATACGCGGGTCTAAAATATGAAGGGCCCCGAAGTTAATACGGCATTTAATCGGGCATGTGTAGGCACAACATCGTGGCGTAGCATGACGGAGGGCGCGAGTGGACACGGTCTCGTGTGCGGAAATCGAATAGCCGCATCTGTACACGGATAAACACGCGTGTGTATTCCACGATGTACGGGCATCACGGCTAATTATGAAATATTGCGGGACCATTGGCAGACCCCCGCCGGCATCTGCCGGCTTCGTATAGCCCTCCACGCTCCGAACGTCCACGCGCGTATATGTCACGCGTATGACCTCGCGGAGCTTGCCTCCTCGCCCTATGGCCTCAAATGGAGAACACGAACCGAAATCCAAGCGGACGATTCGCACGCGAACCAACCCAAGGACGACGCTTTTTCACGCGGGCATTTCTGTCTTTATACGCGGCTCTGTGACCTCCTCTTCCTCTCAGTGTGCCGGTTCCTTCTCGGAAACTATTCGCCGCTCTTTCAAGTTCCTACCCGAATACTTTTCAACCGAAGATACGGACCACTCGGAGTTATAGGGGATTAGGCGCCTACTTCGTTGCTCTCCCCGATATTTATTGGATTGGCGATAACGAAAGCTCGTACTTTTCCATCTTCCTCTTCTTCTTTTTTTTCTTCTTCTTCACGCGTGTGTTCGCGATACGAAGAAGCGGCCTTATAACCCCATGAATAGTGCACCGTGCGGAATGAACGATTGATAATGTCGCCGTGGAATGCTTCCCAGGGAGGACCGTTTGATTTAACTCGAAATTCGCGCGCACGCTTTATGATCTCGACGAACTTTCGGGAATAAAGTCGGATAAAAGCCGCGCATCTCTGCCGATGAGTGTTATGTCCTTTCTTTTCCTTCCTCGTCCCTTCCTCTCGACGATCCTCGCGCCGCGATCACGCGTGTGTTCGCGATACGAAGAAGCGGCCTTATAACCGCATGAATAGTGCACCGTGCGGAATGAACGATTGGTAATGTCGCCGTGGAATCTCGTTTGCGTGCGTGAAACGCTTCCCAGGGAGGACCGTTTCGCGGAACGAATTTGATTTAACTCGAAATTCGCGCGCACGCTTTATGACCTCGACGAACTTTCGGGAATAAAGTCGGATAAAAGCCGCGCATCTCTGCCTATGAAGAGTCTGCCTTCGCTCCTTCCCGCAAGTTCTCCGCACCGCGGATTAACAGGGCGTATGTCAGGAAAATAACCACGTAATCGAATGGCACGAATTGAATCGACCTCGCGAGTATCGTAACGAGACGTTGTCCCGAACGTCTGATTCCCAACACGGTAACGTTTGTCTCAGTTACTGATAATGGAAGATGGAGAATTCAATTTTTGTCTACGATAAGAAAAATATCGATATTACGTAACTTGTTCTCGATGATACTAAAACTGATTTTAATACGATCTAAACATCGAATGAGATGAAAATTATTTGTTGAAGAATTCGACGTTCTGTCAATTAAAGAGAAATTATATTCGTCGTTCTCACATGTAAAGTTACTTCACCAATTAACATGAAACGTGCGTGTTTTTGTAACAGAGACAACACTGTCCTTTAAGTCTCGTGCTATTAACACTAGCACTAAACACTAAACACTAAGTACCAAAGTACCAAAACACCAAAGCACCAACGTACCAAAGTACTAAAGCACCAGAGCACCAAAGCTCCAGGGTACCAAAGTACCGAAGCACTAAAGCTCCAAAGTAACAAAGTGCTGAAGTTGAAGAAGAAGTACTGAAGTACTTGGAGTTGAAGCTGAAGTTGAAGTTGAAGTTGAAGTTGAAGTTGAAGTTTAGTACTTTTTGGTACTGTAGTACTTTTTAGTACTTCAGTACCTTTTAGTACTCGTTGTACTTTGGTACTTTATTGCTTGGTAGCACTTGGTGCTTGGTGCTTGCTGCTTGGTGCTTGGTGCTTGCTGCTTACTGCTTGGTGCTTGGTACTAAGCACTAACACTAAGCACTAACAAAAAAATTTTAGTTGCTCTATAAGCAGCTTGAACCGTGTTGAGGTTATCCGCTAGAACAACGCGTGAATGAACGTGTAATAGAAATATATTTAAATAAGTATAAGTACAATATACGTTGATCCAGATCCGCACGCTGGCAGCGTTACGATACGACAAACCAAAATTTAATTGCGATTTAAAATGGCATTATCCTACGATCATGCTTCACATTGACGTTTATTTAAAGAGCTGCGGAATAAGAGAGGGACAAGTGAAAAATTTCGTACGTGCGAAAGGGTGATCTATCTTTGGTCGTTAAGAGGACAAACATCAGGCGAATTTGTTGAAAGCACCGGACACCTTTCGATCAATGTAACTATATACTTTCGTGCGAAAAACCGGCTGATGTTCGGTACAGCGAGACGACTCTTGTTTCAAAAAATGATCACCTAAACGATGCACCTGCAAAGTACAGCCCCACTTGCGAGAAAAATGTGGTCGTAATAACATAATCCTTCTTATAGCATTCAACTTTTTCCTAGCGGCACTTTTTTCTGTCATCAAGCAAACAAGAGATACGATTCGTGTGACTCGGCCGGTGTAAAGATTTTTACAATGGAAACTGCACCGCCCGCCTCTGTTGAATATTAACGACCACGTCCAAATGACGGAGATCCTCGTTCAAAATATGTACAAAACATCGGTCAACTCTTTTTCACCGCATCTTTTCATTAGCAGAACGCTTCATCGCTTAAATAATGTACATAAATCTCCAGAAATACTTCGGACAGTTGGCGTAGAGTTAAAAAACGCGTGAGAGGTCTAAACAGAGCATCGAACCATATTCGTGCAACGAGCAAGCGTTTGCAATAATTAATCGATCGAATTATCGAGTTTGTACCATGATCTTTAACGTTGAATTTAATACAGATTTGATACGCGATAACCCAGCCACAATTTCCTACGAATTCGCCGTACAATCTGAAACGAGACGTCAGCGTTCTATTCGACAAAACGAACCAATGATATAGCCGCCCACCTTCGCTCTTCTATTTATACGAGTATGTACCTCGAGTAATATAGCGCAGCTCGTAGGATCTTCGCCTTTAGAGAGCAGCTTAGCCAGTCTAAGTCTCTCTGGTGGCTTTTCGAAAACGTAACGTGGCGCAACCGCAAGAGCATTCGTTTGTACGACACCGCAGCGACGTGCACGCGGGGCCAGGTACGCGCCGCAAAACCGCAGGTGGCGCGAAATTTTCGGCCAGGAGTATTACTAAGTAATTTGTTCCCACTCCGTGTTAAAGTCTGCGGCGTGGCGGAGAAAGAGGGATCGTCGCGCGGCAAAAGCCGCAATATAATCTCGACCGTTCCCTCTCTGTTCCTCTCTTTCTCGTTCCGAAGGACAGACGACCGCGAAGGCTAGAGCGCGAAGAAGATAGGAGCGTACTCTCCCCGCGGGCTCATTCGTGGCCGTCGGCCACCATCGACGACGAAGAGTAGGTAATTAAAGCGGACAATGTCTTACACGCGGAATTAAAAGGGCCCCGGCACCCCCGGGTAGCGAGAAATACGATACTCGCAAGTTTGCGCACGCGAGCTCTTACCAGGCCGATTTCTAGCACGTTCGTGCACGTGTGCGTACACGAATGTGGACAGAGACGCGTGTTACGGATGCGGGCGGGTGAGCAAATGGAAAGCTCTCGGTGGATTATTCGTCAGGTAGCGCGGCTATTGGCGATTGACGAAAATCTGACGAACAAGGGATCGCGCTCCAAGCCTGACTCTACATGGAAACGCTATCGAAGCTGGGGTGCCGCGCGTCGATTGGTCAGACTCGACGGTTGAAACCCTTTCGAGAATGTCGATGGGAGTGTCTCGGAAGAACTGCCCTGTGCCAAGTTTAAGGACCTTTCAGATATTTCTTTTGACGAGCTACGCGTTTCTGGCAGAAGGAGAATCGGAGACTGATTAAAGAGGTGCCTTTGATCGCGGCGGAATCCTCCTGATGATCGAATAGAACGTTATGTCGGAAAACAAATTGGTGAAAAATATGTAAAAAGATAAATCCACTGGAATGGCTTAAAAGCAGAAACGAGGATCGAACGAAATTACAAACTGAGGCCGCCTAATTTGAATCACGTGCGACGAAGCGAACGTTAATCCCCGACAACGGTAGCAAAGGCAAGCTTTCGAGGTGTCCTTTCGAGACGTGTCCAGATAGAATTCCACACGAAGCCGAGTGACATCCTTTCAACTTCGACCGATAAACCGGTTCATCGATGGATCGAGTATGGGCAGTATGGGTAAACGACTTTTTTCCACGCCGCGTCTCGAAACATCGGGCCGCAATTAAAATTGGGCTTAAGTCCCACCGAGCGACGTTAATCCTCGATAATAGCAGTTAGGTCGCGGCTCGCGACATTCTTTGGCAGAACTCGAGCCAGGTAATAACGGCCGTGATGCGTTTTGTTTTCTCATCGGCAAGGGATACAGTTGGTGAGTCGTGTTTCTCAAAGTCATCCCATTAGTAAGCGCAATATAATCGGGCATAAATCTCGACGATCTTAATGTTGATCCGGTTTTATACGACGTATGACAGCTTCGATTTGCAGTGGCGCCGTCGTAAAGTCGATTTAACGATATTTTCGTGTATGCAAATAATCCAAGTCCGTGTTAATCGCACGGAAGCTTCGTTTACTCTCGTCCGTTTACTCCTCGTTTACTTTACACCTTGCGCGTCTTACGTAGTCATTTACTCGAGGAATGCTCCTTCGAATGATATGTCCTTAATACTGTTTCAAGCAGTTCGACCGTCCAACTCGAACATTTATCAATGACGAACATTTATCTCGGATGGATCTAGTTTCATTCGCTGTATGATCCCTCGGTTCCTCGTTTTTTGCTTACTCATCCGGCCGGACAGTGACAATCCGAATTCAAAGCGTTAAAACGCAGTGTGCGTTTCGCGGTCGACCCATTATTGCCATCGTTCGCCATTCTCCCCGCAATTACAGACGCGTCTCTCAGAATACGAAGCGCTGATATATATATATATATAGAGAGAGAGAGAGAGAGAGAAAGAGACAGAGATCCAAAGTCATAGAGGACTCCAGAGGTGTCATCGACGCTTTCATCTTAATCGACACACTGGCGCGAGGATAAAGACATAAAACGTAACGGGCGTCCGTGAAGGGAGTGTATAATGGTTAGCTGGAGCTTGTGGACGTAACGATCGAAAACCGATCGAAAGGTAAGACGAAAGGAAAGGAAGGACAAGCGGAAGAAGAAAAGAAGGGAAGAAAGAGGTGGATGGTTGATGCACGCAACAGAGAGAATGACGGAGGGACGTCGAAGCGGTCGAGCAAAAGGTTCCGTCTCTGTTCGTCTCTCTTGTTCGCGTAGCCTACCCTTTCTCATCGGTTTCCTCTTCTCTCTTCCATTTCGCTTCTGCCCTGTCGACCTGCTCCTTTCCTTTCTCCGCGTCTCTTCCCGTTTCTTCGTTCGCGATGCGACGATGTGTGTGGTCCGTCGTGGCAGCCGCCAGAGTCGACTCGCTAATAACACCCCCCCGGCCCTTTCGGCCCTCCTCACCTTCTCCCTCCTACTGTCCATTCTCTTCCATCCCTGCCGTCGTCCTCCCCATCATCTCCTACTCTTACCCGATGCCGACGAAGGAAAAGGGTAAAAAGGTACCAAAGATTCAGAACCCAGTCCGCAAATCGTCTTCTATGAATGCCTCCACGGAGAAGCCCGAGGCTCTCCCGTGGCTTCCACGCAATTCGTCATCCTCGTCCTACCTTTCCCGATTCTCCTCTCTACCTCCGATCTTCCAGATGCAGCCCCTCTTCTCTTCCCCTCTCATCTCTGTCCCCCCTTTTCTTCACCGCGTCAGAGGTCCCTGCGACTATGCTTCTTCCCCTTTTTACAATGCGCTCGAAAACGCACGAACGCGCGTCCGCTTGTCGAGCTAGAGAATTTTTCGCATTCTATCGCTTCATTATAAAGGCCAGTCCCTTACGCTAGCTCCTGATTTCGGGGGATCGAGATGCGACACTGGCCACGCAGTCGAATCACGCCGTCCTTTTAGAATGTACGAACCTGTTTTCGACTCCCTTTTCCCCTCGTGCGGCCGCAACCAACGACAGGGATGCGCTTCTTCGTGTCGTTCCTCTTCTTCTCCATCTCGTCCTTCTTCGCTCGCGTATCGACATGGCTCGCTCGACTTTCTCACTTTTCTACGGATTCTTCTCATTTCGATAGACAGTCTCGCGTCGATGCGGTCGATACTCCGAATCGTCCAAAGATAAAAAACAATTCGAATAGAATAGGCGCTTCGACCTGTCTCTCGATTCGCCATACTATAACGAACGTCGATTAATTATTCGTTAAACGATAAATTATACAGAAGATATCTTGAAATTGTACATGGAATCGAGCGTTATATTTGCGAGGAAAAAGAAAGAATCGATGAAAGAGAACTGTCAACGGGATTAGCGCTTCGGTAAAATTAACGTTCGAAAGCAACCGATCGAAGAGTCTGAAAGGGAAAAAAGAAAATCCCTTTTGAAGATAAAATACATGGAGAACGATCAAGGACGTAGCTGCACAGGGCGATGTTTAACTCTGCAATCACCGTAATCGGTATGCTAGTAGTTCCGAGTACAGTTTAAAAGGAACGAACCCGT